ATTTAAATAGAACTAGTCCCTGTTGGGTGCTTGACTAACCAGACAGGCTTTCAGCCTCAGGGTATATCCCCTCCTCCCATACGCATTCTCTCCTTTGCATCATTTCTGGCACACATCAGGCCTCTCATTGAGTCCATTTAGTTCACTAACCTGACAAGTGGTTTTCTGCGTGCTCACTGACGCAAAGAGAGGTCAAATTAGTGTCAGCACAGGGAAGGGGGCAGGAATACACAGCCAGGAGCAGGAAATAGAAGAAAGAAGAATGATGCAGCCATTTTAATTGACATTCTGCTGTTAGACCAGCATAGTTCTCATATCATTGCATTTAGGCAGCCTGAAGTGAAAGCATTGCTGCAGAACACCTCATGCTGCCTCTGTGCCCAAAGGGAAGCTGTTGCAGACAGAATGAAGGAGAGGGTCCTCAACAGGGAACGGTTCCCTTAGAGAAACAAAGAGAGACAAAGAATAAACTCTTCCAAGCCTTTCTTTGAGTGGAGAATTACAATAAGATCTTGACTTGCTGCTTGGTGCTGCCTACTGTCTGAATACAAGTGAAAGCTGACTCCATTGCTATCTCTCCAAAACAAGCTTTATGACCTGACCTGGCAGACTTGCTCCAAAGGGTTGCTATACGCCCTCCTGTGTGTTTGCTAGGAGATGCTGCATTGCAGCTCAAAGCACAACCAGAGGCACCTACCATGTGGTTTCCTGCTTTGCACTGTCTTCAGTCTGTTTGGGGAGTTACAGTGCTTTAGCATCAGGAAACTTGTGTAGAACATACGGATGGAGCTTGTGCCATCTTTGTGTATAGAGATACAAAGGCCAGGCAATGTCAGGTATGAATGGTTAGACACTGGCACAGGCTGCCCAGAGAAGCTGTTGATGTCCCATCCCTGGAAGTGCTCAAGGCCAGGTTGGATAGGGCTGTGAGCAACCTGGTCTGCTGGGAGGGGTAGGGACACCACCCCTGTCCATAACAGGAGTTGGGATTAGATGGGCTTTAAGGTCACTTTCCAACCCAACCCATTCTATGATCCTCTTGAACACCCTAAAAATCTTTAGAAAATGTGGGTGATTTCAACTTTTTAATAGTGGTTATATTTTGTAGTATTCTAATTAAAACTGGTGATAGTGTTCACAATCTGCACAAAATTTGGCAGCCTTCTGAGCTTTGTCAGTCTATCTTGCATGAGCTTAGGGTTGAAATGAATGGTGTTTACGTGACAGCCACACACCTAGCAAACAACTTTGTTGAATTTAAATGCAAATATATGTCAGTTTGGGTTATCTTTGTCATCAGAGTTGGAAGGTTTCTTGAGTTCTTGCAGCGAATTGCAAGATGGTGGAGTTTGTCCAGTGGGCCTTTGAATGTACTTTCTTATATATCTTTTAAAATTGTTTGTGGGTATAATTACACTGTGTTCATGGTTAGTAGCTGTTTTTATAAGATGTTCAGCAATATACACCCATATATTTGAAAAGAAGAACTGAGCCTTAAGCCACTTTTGGCTTGCTAAAACCATCAGAAACAATGGATATAGTGTTGTTGTTGTTTGTTTGTTTGTTTATTTTGTTTTTATTAGAGTTTCCTGGAAAGAATGAGTATTTCTTGGTTCTGCTGTCATTTACTAGAAACTCAAAAAATTCACAGGATTAAATAATATCTTCAAAATATTAGTGTTCTCTTGATTAAACTCAAAATTCTCTTCTGCACAGTGTAAAGCACATGTTCAGTCTTCAAACAAAACAAAAACAAACCAACCAAAACAAAAAAGATAAAATCCAGCAGCAATTCTAGTAGCTGAAAGCATGGTTACATGAAAAGGTTTTATTTTAAATTAAACAAAATCAACACCCCCTCACTTTTGATGTGTTGTGGGAATCACTGTGATGTCAGGGCACTGGTTAAATGCATGGAATTTTTTATATCCTATGTCTAGCTACTGATCTGATAATTACTGAGATTTGGTGATGCTTCTTGTCTAAGTATTGACCATGAATTATACTTAGACTGAGTATCTTTGAAAGATAGAAGCAGGGAGCCTGACAGTTTTAATCTACTGATTGTTGTCATCGGTGTATGTAAGGTCGGTGGCAAGGTATGAAGAGGGTCAGGGCTAAATCCTTCCCGAGTGCAGGGGCTGCTCCCGGGGACAGCGGGCTCTCCCCCGGCAGCACAGCAGCCACTCGGCGTGAGTGACACCTGCCGGCACCGCAAGCAGCCGCTGATGCTGTGGAGCTCGCTGGTTTCCAACAGCTGCGCTCACCTTGATCTGCAGCTGCTGAAGCAAGTGGGTGATGAATTAAGAGTCATTGAGCAAAGCAGCACAAGAGATGCTGCTTAACTCTTCTTCTGTCATTATTAAACTGCAATGTGCCTCTGTATGTGTGTGGACTGCTCTCATGGTGAGAAGGCTCTGTGGCAAAATAGTAGCAGCATGCAGATGTCTGACCTGTGCAGGTCAGCCCAGTTTCTTTCATCTTAATCTCTTTGGAGTACTCAGCACTTTAAAACTCTAGCTATTGCTATGCTTGGCTTCGTTTAGTAGTCTAAATTAAGGCACTATTTTTTGTTTTAAAAATTGTCTTTATAGCAAAGGTTAAAAATAAGTTGCTGCTAAGTGGTATGAGTGTGTATCTGTGGGCTGAAATATGCTGTCTATGGAGTTGAAGATGGTCTGATTTTATAAAATGGGATTTTCACTTGAAAGTAAATAAAGGGTTAGTTCTGTTCTTGAAGGAAATAACTGTTTTCATACAGTTCAAGAGTATTATAAATCTTTGTTGTATGCATCAGTACTTTCAACATAATGCATTCAATCTTCACGTCATCGTCTTGCTTTGGGGAATTAAAGTTTAAATATTGTGTTACAGCATTCACGTTATTGTCTTTTCTTATATACAGAAGCTTGTATTCATTTTTGAGTGCACAATTTTCTGCTAATTGTCTATTAAAAGCAGCTTTATATCTAAAGCTGTTTAAGGAGGACTGGTTCAAATCCACAAATACAATCATGTTTTATAGCAATAATGTTGTATTTTTTTGATTTTTAATAATGTGTTTGACCTTTGTCTTGAACCATTCCTTTTCTGTAGCAATTTTTGCTTCCATTGGTTAAAACCTTCCAAATATATAAATTTACAATTGATTGTTACATTTAAATGATACACCTTTTTTTTTTTTTTTATTTTTTTTCTCCTGCATAAAAGCCTGCACTACTTCTGTTTTCATCTCCTTAAACAATTTTGCCTTTATGTATGTGTTTTAATTTCCTGCAGTTCTGCAGTTTGCTGTTGGTGAAAGTCTTCTGTAATTACCTTTTTATTGGAATTTGAAAGAAAATTAAGATGGACTTAAGGAATTTTTTTGTGCTTTGTTTCATTAGTTACAAAAGTTTAGATGTATATATATAGAATTAAATATAATAAAACTTAACAAATTTCTGCCAAGAATGATTTGATATGCAGGAGTTATATTACACAGTTAAAACGTTGCATTGTTCATGTCTGGGCTCATCAGCAGATCTCATCCTCTGTACCTCTTTTTTTTTTTTTTTTTTTTTTTTTTTTTCAATTGAATGATTAGAAATTAGAAAAATAACCTTGTCAGACTTGTTCTTTGACTCACTTTTTTCCCATTTGAATAAACTATTAATTGATTCAGGTGAACCTTCTGTACCTTCCAGAGGGACAGTGATTTTAATCAAAACTTCCAGGTGTGAAGGTGTTTGCAAGTTTCCTGTTCTCACTAATGTTGCTGAATTTAGATGTTTTTGAATGCTAGAACATGACTGTAAAAGTACATCAGTTTTACAATGAATACATTTCTTTATAAATATGTTGGGTGGAAAAAAAAAAAAAGAGAGATAATTCCATATATTCTCAGAAACCAAAAGTTTCTTGTTATGCATAGAAACAAAAAGAAACCTAGAGGGTATTGTCTGATTTGTATTGTTCGTAGAGGTTTTAGCTGTTGCTGTTGTGTTTTTATTTTTCATGCTTGGCAGAACTATACTGTAACAAAAGTCTGGAAAGAAGCACTCATAATATGCTCAGGGTTTTGGCAACAAACTGACCAAAACCTAAGAAAATGTCTCACAGAGGAGCAGATCTTCCAACACAGGTTTAGTGCCTGCTCCTTGCTTTTCATTTCTCTGTCCCGCCTCCTATAAATAAACCCATTACTTAATCTTACAAACTCCAGAAGTATGATGTCTCCTTATAAAACACGGTAGAGTTCTTATAATGGAAAATAAGAACCAATCTGAATAGATGGAAGGTGGATGTTCAGTTTCAATAGATGATGTGCTTTTTCCTTTTTTTATTGCTATATGGAGTTACATAAAAATGCAAGCAATGTGTTTATGTATGTTATTCTTTCTTTACATTTGGGTATGTTGTTTATAGTAAATTTATGCTTAGGAAGGCTCAGTTTATATTTGCAAAATAGATATTTTTTTTTATTCATAGACTAGCTGATAGTATTGGTATAAAAGACTAAAGGTTTTGAATTCGTAGTGTAGCAGCTCCTAATTCCCTTCTTTTCGTTGTTGATGTTATCGCTGTCAGGTTGACGTTATCAACCCAGTCTGGTTAGGCTGGGCGAGTTTGTCTCAGTTATTAAATGGCATTATTGCTTCAGAATGATTTCAAAATGCTTGGGATTGCGCATTCCTATGCAGGAAAAGTTGTTGACCTTGCTACTTCTATAATTGTACATTCTGTCTAGTGTCTGCTTCCTGGATGGCCTGTATCTGGTAATTGATTTCCAGTGTCCCACTACCACTCTTCACTTAAAAGAACATGATGTATTTTATGGTTTTGCTCTAAACAACAAAAGCATACTCTTCTATAAGAAGATGGGGAACAACTTAAATATGGAAATTAATAGTAATATGTATTTGATCATAAACGTGCATGCTAGACATCACAAGGAAAATGTATTTACAAAAGCCAGTTCTCTTTGGAAATTAAGGATGTTTTCTTGACTTCTTTTTTAGGGGTGGGTGCACAACATGGATACGATTCAGTGTCAGAAAGTTAGATCCCATTGCATTTGCCTATTCAGATCCTCCTTCAAGTGTATGCCAGTGTGAGTGTGGTACAGAGTGAAAATTGAAGAAGGGAATGTGCCTCTTTTGCTTTGGTCTCAGCCAGAGCATGGAGTCATCTGTGTACAAATGAAGCAAGGAACACAAGAAAAGGATGAACTATGGGATTCTGGTAAGGCCAATTAATTCTTTGGATACTTTTTATTTCCTTCTTTTCAAATGGGAAAACTTTGGTTGTGGAGCCTGAAGCATTTTGTATGAATAGCTTTGCCAAGAGCCTTCCACAATTCACTTGTGGGTATGTTTAATCTTGCTCTGCTGTACCCTGGTCCCTGGTTTTCATTCTAGATGTTAACCTGATATCGTCTTAGATTTAAAAGTTTCAAATAAATCAATAGGTTATAGAAAGCTGATACAATATGAAATGTTCATCTTGCATGTACTTTGTCATACTTTAAAGATCTTCTGGTTACTTTCACTCAAAATTTTGGGACAAACTTCATTTGTACGAAGTTTAATATTCAGCATGTTCAGAGCTACTTATTAGTGTAAAGGTAACGGTCTTAGTAATTCACTAATTAGTTGTCAAAATTGTTAGAGACAAATTTAGGTCTGAACCACAAAAACAGACATATTTCTAGATAATATTAGATAGATAATATTTCTAGATTTTTAGTTGTAACTTTTATAATTTCTTGTGGTTACACCAGAAAATATTAGGCTGAAATATTCTGGGGTGTGTCTTGTGATGAAACAGATAATGGCTACTATGAGAAGCTTATTCAAAATGCTGAAAGGAAATATTTCAGTATAGTAGCATGAGTTTGAAATGAGAAGATCATGAAGTAATGCAGGTATCATATGTCTAAAGATGAAAACATATTTGTCTCTGAGATAGTATCATCTGTGCATAGTTGCTTGTATCTGGAACCATATGAAACAATACATTGAATTTGTATCAAGAAAGTACATAGAAGGTGCCTGTATAAATTATCCGAAGGGACTTTGTCATAATATCTGTAGCATAATATGTTTTTCCACATATTAAGAAAAACAATTTTTCTTGAGAGAGGTTAGACTTGTGATTTTCATGTACAGTCAGCATGGTGAGGGACCCTCATGTTCACTGTGCAAATCCTGGGTATTCAGTGATATGCCTACACTTTCTAGAATGATACCGGGATCATTCAGAGTCCTAGAAGGTCTTGAATTCCAGAATGTTCCCAGGATCTTCCATATGACAGTTTGACCAGTCTCTGGTGACACTGCAGAGATGGCTTTTACCGGTGTAGCATAATCTGTGTAAAATAGGTGTAGGTCAGAGACCAATCACCTGTGAACAGTGTGTCCTGAAAAACATTTCAAACCACCAGATGTACCAGAGATTTTCTTCTGAAGATGCTGGCAGGATTCATCCCGAGGCTGGAGGATTTTCTTTCAATGCAGAGTTGCTTGCTCTGGTCCAAGTGCACCCACAGCATTCATAGCAACATAAAAGCAGCAGTTTTGCCCATATCACAGGCCAGTGTTCTTGCCTGTATTTCAAGTCTAGTCTTCTAAGTATTTATGTTCCTGAGCTAGAGAGTTTTATGTTTGAATACACAGCAAAAGAAGATTTGGGGAATATTTAGAAGGTGTCTGTATGTTCATAGTCACTGGCATTTCCCACCCCTTTGGACCTCACAAGCTACCTCTCTTCAAACTGTAGAAGGAAATTTCTTCTAAGTCAATGGATGTTGGAAATCCACTAACTCGAGTTTCCAAAATTGTAGGCTGGAATCATGATAATATGTTTGTATACATATTTATCCAGTTCTTTTATCACCAAGCAATTTTCTGTGGCACAGCCCAATCTGTGGAATGTAATTTTTAAAATAGCCGCACTGCTTGTCTCAGTCACTGCAATTAGCATCTCTCATTCCCAAGATTGCACAGGACTAATAAGTAATCACGGCAGCATTTATGTAACTTAGAAGTTTTAACATCTAGATAAACAAACATGGCAGAGCTCTCTATTTTAAGAAAAGATTACAGAAGCTTATGAAATGGCTTACTTGATGTAGCGTCTGTGAGAACTGGGACAAGAGTGACTTGGGAGATTTCAGTTTGATGTTAAAATGTATATCGGATTTTAATTTTTTATTACAGGGATGTCTGTCTCTAATACAATGAATGCCCTATTACCTTTTCATTCTCTCAGTTGCACACCTGGCTACTTTTATTCTGCCTTGCCTATAGTCCAGCTAGAGGAGGAGGAGGAGTGTGGCTTGTCATTTCTCTGCTCATGGATTAAATAAACCAAGCCTGCAACCTGGCCAGGCTCTTACATTTATGGTGCTCACAGTTTTCATGTGCAACTCCCTCATATGTGAAAATATCTTAGCGTCTCACAGAAAATGAGAAGTACAGAGCAGTCAGAGATTTGTATCGCTCTCTTTGGATTCATGGGTTAATATATCTACTTTGCAAGATAAAGAGTAGGCAGCCCCATGTTTAGAATTTTATCCCATTTCCAATCTACTTCAGCTGATTTATAAAGCTTAGGAACATCTTTCCTGCTCAATTCATGTAAGAACATAACCACTCTGTCCTTTTTGCCAGTTATCTTTATTGGCAAGCTCTTCTCCCATGATTATCATAGTAGTCCTCCTCATCTTCATAAACCCGTTTGTTTCCTGGGTAATGGATTTTCTTGTAATCTATATAAAGATTTTTTCCCCTCCACTGAAATTTTTATTACCTAATAAATGTATGCTTAAAGGTTGCTTTCAATAGATCTCTTGGCTTAACTCACTACAACACACTTTTGCCTACTCTTCTCAGGCTCGGGTTAAAATCCTAAATGAAACCATGCATTATGAATGCACTGTGGAAATAAGGCGATAAGCCATATTTGGAAAACACCCTTTCTAAGTGCCTTAATTTGAAGTCTTTAAATGAAACACATCTAAACAGAGCCTATCAAGCTCCTTCCTTCCTAAGCGTAATGAGTTTTGTTACACAAAATAGTTTTTGTCTTTATGGTCACCATTGCAAATAGAAATGGCAAGAGGAGAAGCTGGGCTGTCTGTGAGTTTTGCTCTTCTTCATGTAGGCAACTATATTTTCAATTCAGCAGATAGAAGTATCCTTTAAGAGACAGCACAGAACCAATGTTCTAACAGAATCTGACGTTCCAGGTGACAAAGTCAATGTGACGTAGACCACATGGAACAACTGAAAAATGCAGATTATGCTTTCTTCTGTTTTGGGAAGATGGAGGGGAGTGAATGGGGGTGTGAGGAGATGGTGCCTAATTCTAGTTCGGCATCTGAACACCAGGCCAACTTCTGAAGACTCAAGCCTGTTTGCACGCCATGACTTGTGGTGCATATCAGGGCTGGCTTGATTTCATTCTCCCTCAGAGCCACGTGGAAAATGTTTATGTTGCATTTGCATAAAAATGTTTGACATAACACTGAAATACAGATAAAGTACAACAGCTATTTCAAAGTTGCAACCAATGTATTAACATACTAATGTAGAGCCATAATCAGGAAACTGTTAGCCAGAATATTAAAGGAAAATGTCAGTGAAAAGACCTTTTTTAATCATTACAGTACTTTTTGTAATAGATAATTATAGTTTATCTCTTTTTTTTTTTTTTTTTTTTTTATGTTTGTCTCTTAGCTCTGTGATTTTTTATCCTTAAAATTATACATTTAATTTTTGTGTATGTAAAAGTTTGTGTGTCCTTAAGCCAAACAGTAATGTTTTTGTTGGAAATGAATCGTGGATCCTTTAGGTTTCAGGAAGGTCAGTAATTATAAATTGGTTTTGCTTAGCCTGGCCTGTCAGGAGTCACATCAAAAGCATGTGACTTGTGTTTCAGTACACACTTCATACCCACATTGCCTGCTACTCTGATTGCAATACCATGTCATTCCATAGTAGTTTACTATGATACATCATATGGTTTGCAGTCACCCTTACTGTTCACTTCCATTGCCTTAAGCATTTGGAAGCAGTCAAATATGTGGCAGCACACAGATGTTACTCAGTAACAGTATCTTGCTTGTATAATGAGTTGACATTTGTAGTTTTTTTTGTTTGTTTTGTTTTGTTTTTGTATTCTCTTTGAATGCGTAATATGCAATAGCATGTGATACAGACCTCCTTTTGGTTTAAATATCCTACTGAATGGTTTACTTTTTTATGTTAGAAGTTTTCTTATTCAGTCAGTTGTAACAACAGGAAAAGAAATGGTGTGTCATTTTTGTATCAAATGGGTACAGCTCTTTTGACATTAACTATATTTCATTGTAACATATTTCATTATTCAGGAGTTTAGAATATCTCATCTTAATGAGATATTCTAATAGGTCTGTTAGGCTTTGCCCAAATACTTTTCCATGGAACAGTGGGTGTGCTAATGTCCTGGGTCAGTAGGGAGCTGCACTCACCATTAATGTTCTTCAGACAGCTTCAGTCAATTTGGTATACTGTACTGGTAGGAGATTTTTTATTTTTTTCTAAATGCTCCTGCATATCCCACCAAGTAAAAAAATTTATTTATTGTTTGTTTATGTGTTTTTAAAGACCCCTTTCTTTTCAACTATTTTAGAGCATGAGAAGATTTGCTAGTCTTTGTCTTGACCCAAAAGAGTTATTTTAAACAAACTGAGCTGAACCTTATATACCTTCTCTTCAAATCAAAATTAGGTAAGGAGTCACTCCTCAGGGTCCTCAGTGTTTGTGCTTCCGATTCTTGAGCATTTTATGCTCAGGACTTTCCTAGAAAAGCAGTGTTCCTGTGCTGAGTAGCATCAAAACAAAAACTGCAAAATGTTAACTGGTGTACGGTGGCTGGAGACTTGGAGACTGTGGGGGGAAAAAAAAGATAAAATTATCTATATCTATATCTATATCTATATCTATATCTATATCTATATAATGAAATCTTCTGTTCCAGAACTACCAACCTGAGTTTCTTAAGCCAAATGAAATTAGCTCTCAGTAGGATTTTTCTTCCCAGCAGTTTGAAAAGTCTGGTTTCAGAAAACCTCTTAGCAATTATCTGTCCTGATGTAGAGCTAAGCTTTTTTAAGTCATTTTATAATAATTCTAATGTATAGTAGAGAATTTTTTTCCCTGTGTTTTCTTTCCCTCCGCTTAGTGCAGAAAAATAAGGAG